TTTGATAAATGAGCTTTAATGGTCAAATCAGCTGCATTTCGCCTGATCGGCGCAGTGAAATGCAGCTGATTTGACAGGAATTCCGGAGTGAGACGAAGGTGTCTGGTATGGCAAGCCAAATATTTCCTTAATAGACACTTTTTCCTATTAATGAGACACTTGGCTTGCCATATAACTTGAGGGCCCTCTAGTGGCTGAAAATGGTAGTGTTCAATATTTTCCATGTCAGAATGAATGAAATTGTCAGAACTCAGCCAACAATTGGGTTATTAGTCGCTTTGGTGTATAAGTCGCAGGACTTGCAAGATTATGCAAAAAGGTGTAATTTATACTGCAAAAAATACGGTAATCTTTGCATGCAAGCTTCCTCCAGCAGCACTCCTGTTACATTATCAAGCAAAGGAAAAAACAGAAACAATCACACAAAGTGAAACAAATTATGTTTTTTGTTTGGAACAAAGAAAACTGTTGGTTTGATTAAAGGAAGAACAGAGACTGAAAGATGACATGCCCGCAAACAGTCCAAACAGCTGCAGGCAGCTGATATTATTATTATATTATTATTATGTTTGTGGAAGGTTGCCCTGCAAACCACTTCAGAAACTCATCAAGCTTTCTTTTCAGTTGCAGTCCATCTAATCAGAACCTGAATGAGCGTTCTGCTGAGGGGTCATGCAGTCACGTCAGAGAAGTAGCAGTTTCATCTGTTTTGGCGATTTTCCAAGGCTTATCTGATAGAAAGTCACGTATAACCGAAGTCATTGAAATTAACTCCCCGCCGCCTTATCTGTGTGACAGACTGTTTATTTTTTATTAACGACAAACGTCATTATTTTCACATGACTGAAAAAAAAGAGTTCTTATAATAATATGAATTTCAGGCTCCTGCCGGAAACGTTGAATTGCATGCTGACAATAAGTGGGGTTTTTTTTACACTAATCTCCTTTATTCTAATAAAGCTTTCCTATTTCATATACATTCTTGGGTTGTGTTAAACTTATCTGTGCTCCCTCAGAGACAAATACATTGAAAGCCTGCAGCTGTATTAGCATAGCTGCCTTGAGTTAATGAGAGCATACACTTAATTTAAGGACTAGCACTCCTTGAAGAAATGCATATAATCAGAACTAAGAGCATCCTGTGATGAGAAGGGAGTTGTGAGTTTTAAAAATGTTGCCAAATAAGTGGTGCTTTACTCACGTGTCGTGAATGACTCTCAGCTACTACCACTCCAGACCTTAGCTAAGAGTTGTGATGACCATCTTGGAATTAAGTTGACTCCGAACATTAATCAGTTGCAGATGTACGTTTAGTAATTTGATAAAGAGTTGCCTCCCCCACTACCTTAGCTAAACTGGAGCCTATTTACTTGCTCTGAGATATATAATAGGTTCAGGTTTAGGCCTTTATATACCCTTGCTGGACTTACTTCACTCAGTATATGAAGGATGAAGCATTGGTATATTTTCATATGCAAAGCCATTTTAGGAAAATTACCATCATATTCTCTAAGTTCTTTTTTTTTTACAGAAAACACAGTCTCAGGGCCAGTAGCTGGTTGCTGCCTTTGTGCACACAGAGTCAGGAAAGATACAATTGTCCTATTTCGGTCCATGGTCTTGGAATGATCTGCAGCTTCACCACTTGCTCTTGTTGAGGGCGGACGCATTTCCCCTCCTCTCCCTTCTCCGCTTTGCTTTTGCTCTGTCCAGTCTGTGAAACTGTTTCAGAGTCTCTCTCTACAAATCTTCCAAACCACCGAGAAAGTCTGCGGACCTATCAGAGGGACCCGGCTGAATAAACATTGTGTCATCATTTCAGGACTCTTGGATTCTCTCTGGCGCTGTCCTAGGTTGACCTCGGTACTCTCGAGAGTGTTTACGGATCTCACCAAAGGGAACTGGCTGATTATACCATTCTTATCAGAAATCCTACAGCGCTTCTGGAGTGTCCTTGGACACGTTCACCACCCTTGTCATCTCCCCTCCCCTACAGAATGTCTGCGTGACTATGAGCTTATGTGCAGGGTGTTTTTTTCAATTTCGGGCTATCTCTCCTCGGCCAAGGTATGAGAGTCTGTTAGGATATTTTTTTTGCCTTCGAATCCTGACATGTTGTCACTTTCATTACTTTTTCTGAACAGGTCTCACTTGTAAATGAGTCTTCGAGACTCGTTGTGATAAATCTGTATAAATAAAGGTTGACTGAATGAATGAAGCTCAAGTTGAGGTCTGTCCAAAAACTGTCAGAGGTTTTAGTCACATCTTGCACCTGTAATGCTCAAGTGTCTTAAATTATGATTTTTTTTTTAAACTTGCATTTTATTTTATGTCTTATTACCAGATGCTTTGTTGTAAATATTATGGTTACTGTTATTAAAACTGTTGTTGCATTTATAATAGCTTGTATGCCAAGGACATCCTTGTAAAAGAGATTAATAATCTCAATGGATTTTTTTCCTGGTACAATAAAGGTTTAATAAAAAAATAAAATAAATACTGTGTTTTTTCAGCGTTTCATTAAAACCTGTTCAGTGATTCATGAAATATTTTGCAAACACAACAGACAAACACACATACACAGGCAATTACATCATCACCAAAGGCAATAATGAATGTTGTAAAGAACGGAGGATTGGAATAAAAAAAATCTATCATTTAATCAGAATGAACAAATGTTGATCAAATAAAAGAGGAATAGAGAGGAATGTGTTCTAGAACAAGTAATAATATTCTAATATAATAATTAGAGCATGTCTAATTAGAAATAAATGCATCCAAGTCATATTTGCAGAGAGTTCAAAGAGATGTGTTGAAGTTGTTGAAGAGCTCAGGGGAATGCAGCCATTAAAAGCAGAACTCGTGTTAATGGAGCAATAAATAGGATTATTAAGGAGTCCCTGCAGAGGAGCAGAACTGCTTCCACTGTTCATCCTTACATTCAGAGCTGTTTGGTCCCAGAACATCCATGAGAGAGTGTTTCTGTGTGAGAGAGCCGCTGCTCAGAGAACCGTAACCAGCTCTGACATTTCCTCCTTTGAGAGCAGGACCCTGAATCTTTCATGACTCTGTCTGATGCTGCACTTTGGGGCAACAGTTTACATAACAGCAAACAGGGCTCTTACATTCTGTCAAGCTTTAAACCGTCTCAGTCCAATAAACACGTTACATTTTTAAACTGGACCTATTTGGATGCATATCACCCGCCATCTTTCAGCTTTAGGCCATCATCTCATGAAATGGAGTTAAAACTGTTGGTCAAACTGTAAAATGATATGCAAGAGATTGTGCCGTATTGCAAGATGTGCATGTGCCAGGAATAACTTTTGGCTACTATCTCACCAAATACTAGCTCAGTATCTGTAAAAATGACCGATGTTGAGGCATTTTATGTTGTCTAGTGATTAGCTTCTGTGGCCATCTTGAATTAGGTTGACTTCAAACGGTAATCAGTTGTAGATATACATCCAATACCGTATTTTCTGCCGTATAAGTCGCATCAGTCCAAAAATGTCTAATAAAGTGGAAAAATACATAAATATGTTGCTTAGCCGTATAAGTCGCATCTATTATGCGTCAACTCTAACACGTCGCGTTTGTTACGCGTCACCGCTGACGACCTGGAAATGTGGGCCGGTGTTCTGCCAAAAATCAACTGGCTGCCACGGGAGCGTGCACGGGAGGACTTTAAGAAGAATTTAACAAGATTAACATTTAAAAACAATTATTTGTTTGCTTGAAATTACAGCAGAGGTGTGTCTCAATTTAACGTTTCCTTAATAAATGCACTTTGACGGTAAAATCAGCCGCATTTCAAAAGCCTATACACGGAAGCAGGAGCGAGCAGAGGGACGACTCGCTGGGCATTTCTTCTAAATTTAACAAGATAACCAACTAAAAACAATTATTTCTTTGTCCGACTTTATAGTCAAGGTGTGCCTCGGTTTAACTTTTCCTTAATAAATGCACTGTAATGGTAAAATCAGCTGCATTTCAAAAGTATTCGCTGCCTCGGTGCTCCGGGAGCGTGCAGAGGGAGGAGATCAGGAAGGAGGAACGCTGCACATTTCTTCAAAATTTAACAAGATAAGAACCTAAAACAATTATTTGTTTGTTCAACGTTATATTAAAGGTGTGTCTCAGTTGAACTTTTACTTAATAAATGCACTTCAATGGTCAAATTAGCTGCATTTTCCCGGGGCGGCGTAGTGAAATGAAGCTGATTTGACGGTTGTTCCAGGCATGATCCTGGAGCTGGATGAAGGTGGCAGTTTATGGCAAGCTGATTGTGTCGTTAATAGCCACTTTAACCTATTAGATGACACAACGGCATGCCATACTACTAGTCTGCCATCTAGCGGATGAAAATGGTAGTGTCAGAATGAATGAAATCAGTCATATCTCAGCCAAAAATTGGTTTATAAATATTGTGTGGGGGGGGGGGGACATATGTCGCCTCAGTGTATAAGTCACAGGGCATGTAAATTGTGCAAAAAACTGCCACTTATAGGCCTGAAGATATGATAATTACTTTTGAAGAGTTTCATTAACATTCATCAGTTGTTCTTCGGATATATTGCTAGAGCTACTTATAAATAATTAGGGGTGGATTATATAAACATAATTTTTTTATTCTTACAATTTAGAAAATGGATCTTATGTCTTTCTACTGTTTTTGGTTAGTTTTCAAATGAGTTAAAATGGTTTGTAAATCTTTTTTGTCTCAACATTTTACACCGCTGACTTTACATTTGGAACACTGGAGTTCACATTTTACTTGTAGATGCTGTTGGTCAAGGAAATAAAAACAAATGATAGCAACCTTAGAAGGTTGCCCCTGTCTTACAAATGCACCCATCAGAAATAATCTGAAAGAAAAAGCAGTTGAACCGTTGGTCAAATGAGCCAAATAAATTAAATATCTGAGTGCACCAGTGCTCCTGATATAAATGATTATTTTCTTTCAGCAAGCTAAACTGTGAACACTCAGGTCCACTCACCAAGTCTTTGGACGTGCCGAGTCTCTTGAGTCCGTCCAGGGGCAGGAGGTCAGCGGAGTCCTTGTGTGTGAACTGGGTGGCCTGTTTGAGACGCCTCTGCTGGTGCAGGATGGCTTTGTCCCGGATGGCTAGCTCACCTTTCTTCGCCCCGCTCATGGTCTTCAGTCTTTTCTGAAGCTGAAGCACAGAGATGCGTCCTGGCAGCACTTGCAGACTGGATGTCTCTCCTCCAGAAAGGCAGCTGGTTAAGGTTGCTCTTTGTCTTCTTTAAGGAAGAACAAACAGGCAGATGTCGCCTCTTCCACTCTGGTTTATCCTCTTTCTGCTCTGGTCTCTCTTGTATTTGTGTCAACAGCTTGGGAAGCTCTCGTCCTGTCCTGAGTGCCCCTCTGATGAAGACATCCTCCCTGAGCTCTGCTCCCTCTCTGACAGAGGCGATGAAGAAGGTGGGACTAAGTGTGTGTGTTGTCTCCCCTCCCCTCAGTGTCGTCTGTCCTTGGATTCCTCCGTTACGTCTCTGTTTTCCTTTTCCTCGCTCTCTCGTTCCTCACCTCTCATTTTTGCAGAACGGCGGCAGCGTTTTTAGCCTCGTTCATCTAAAAGGCCGTGTAGCTGAAACATATTAAACACATGATTTGTCACACAGTCTGGGCTAGTCCTGCTGTGTAGGTGTGAAGGAGATCACTGATCTGACCTCACAACGAAGATCAATTCGCCCCAACTATTGATTTCCTCTGTCCCACCGACGACCCCCCCTCTGAGTATCACAGTTATTGAAAAAAATCCAATTTTGTCCATTCACCCACCAAACGCTACAAACATCAATCTTTGTGACCTCTGGACAATGACACACATTCTGTGGTGATGCAGCCTGCAGGGCTTTATGAGATAAAGCGATCTGCTCATCTCTGATCTGATGGCATTTAATGCTGACATCAAGGCAAAGCATGCTCTTTAGAATACTGCATATTTTCTAATGATGGGAGTCCTTGTGAAGGTGAAGTGGAACAAACTGCCTTCAAAGGGAGGGAATGATTTCAAAAGAAAATGCTGCACTCTGCTGGTCATATCTTTGCTTTACATCAATGGTTACTTCTCTTAAATTGCTATTTAATACAGTTTAGTTTTAAAAAACACAATTATGTTCCTGTTTGATAGCAAAAAATTCAGATTGATTTCAGATGAATGGGTTTTTAAGAAGATAGTTGAGTTCAGAATGAAAGTTCATGTATTTGGAAACAGCCCGTCACCTGCTATTGCCATTTACTGCATGAGACGCGCAGCACAACAGGGTGAACAAGAACATGGCTCTGATGCAAGACAGTTTGTCGAGCGTCAGTTTTATGTTGATGACGGGCTCACATCGGTTGCCACGCCAGAGGAAGCATTCAACCTACTTTCGAGAACTCAGAACATGTTAGCAGAGTCTAACTTACGCCTTCACAAAGTGGCATCAAACTGCAGTCAAGTCATGAAAGCCTTCTCTGCCGAGGATCGAGCAAAGGACTTGAAAGATTTAGATCTAGGAGTTGATCCTCTCCCAATTCAGAGAAGCTTAGGACTCTTTTGGAACCTACAATCTGATAGCTTCACTTACCATGTGTCAAATGACTCCAAACCATTCACACGTAGGGGGAGTGTTGTCAACGGTAAATAGCCTGTATGACCCTTTGGGCTTTGTCGCTCCCATAATAATTCAAGGGAAAGCACTGCTCAGAGAATTGTCATCTGAAGTGGGAGACTGGGATGAACCTCTACCCCTTGGAAAACACAAGATTTGGGTCTCGTGGAAAAATTCATTGCAAGCCCTTGAAAACCTCCAAATACCAAGGTGCTGCAGCTCAGGTATGTTAAGCACAATAAAAACAAAAGAACTGTACATTTTCTCTGACGCCTCCACTGTAGCTATAGGGGCAGTAGCTTATCTGCGCACAATTAACAGTGAAGGACAGTACCACGTTGGGTTTGTGATGGGGAAGTCTGAGCTTGCACCCCGCCCTGCACACACAGTACCACGCCTGGAACTCTGTGCTGCTGTGCTCGCAGTACAAATGTTTGAACTCATTAGAGACGAGCTGGACATTAAAGTAGACAATGTAAAGTTTCATACAGACAGTAGAATTGTTTTAGGATATATACACAACACTTCCAGACGATTCTACATGTATGTTGCCAACAGGGCTGCACGCATTAGAGCAGCCACACATCCCAACCAATGGCATTATGTAACAACAGAGTTAAATCCAGCTGACCAAGCCACTAGGTTCATTCCAGCAGCCGACCTGCAGAACAGTATCTGGTTCTCAGGTCCACCCTTTTTGTATTCAGACACACACACAGACTCACACAATACTAATCCTTTCACACTCATCGAACCTGAAAAAGACAAAGACATGCGTCCAGAAGTGAAAGTTCTAAAAACTACAACACAAGAGTCACAGCTAGGCTCTGAGCATTTTGAGAGACATTCCAGTCGGACAATACTGTGCAGAGTCATAGGCAGACTCATTCATGTTGCCACATCCTTCAAACAAAAAACTGAAAAAAAGGGATGGAAAAGTTTCAGTGAAACGCCAAGTGTCCGAGAACTCACGCAAGCAAAAAGAGTCATTGTGCGAGCCGTCCAGCAAGACGCTTACAAAGATACGTTCAAGAACCTTAAAGAAGGAAGACAGACAAACACAAAACGGGACACACTCAAAAAGCTCAATCCTGTAGTGGATGAAGACAACCTCTTACGTCTCTGTGGACGTCTCTCCTCTGCTGATCTCACAGAGAATGAAAAACACCCTCTGATTATCCCATCTTCCAGCCATATCGCCACACTACTAGTAAGACACTTCCACGAACAAGTGTCTCATCAAGGGAGACGTATGACTGAAGGAGCTGTCCGCGGTGCTGGATTCTGGGTAGTTGGAGGTAAGCACCTCGTATCCTCCGTCATTCATAAGTGTGTCACATGTCGCAAGTTGCGAGGCAAAATGCAGACCCAGAAAATGGCAGACTTACCCGCAGGCCGAGTCACCCCTGAACCACCTTTCACCTCAGTTGGTCTAGATGTGTTTGGGCCATGGACAATTGTGACACGTCGCACAAGAGGTGGCTGCGCCCAGAGTAAACGCTGGGCCGTGTTGTTTATGTGCATGCCAACCAGAGCTGTGCACATTGAACTGATAGAGAGTATGTCTACTGATAGTTTTATAAATGCATTAAGAAGGTTCTTCTCTATTCGAGGCCCAGCCAACCATCTGCGCTCAGATAGAGGCACAAACTTTATAGGAGCTTGTAAGGAGCTAAACTTGGAGAAAGGAAACACAGCTATGGACAAGTACCTGCAAGAGAGAAGATGCACTTGGACATTCAACCCCCCTCACGCCTCTCACGTGGGAGGCTCCTGGGAGCGCTTCATCGGAATCGCCAGGCGCATTCTAGATGCAATGTTGTTTCAAACTGAACAAACGCGTCTCACTCGTGAAGTCTTAAGCACCTTCATGGCCGAGGTGATGGCAATCATTAACGCAAGGCCTCTTGTTCCTATATCCACTGACCCGGACTGTCCTTCCATATTCACTCCAGCAATGTTACTAACGCAAAAGATGAGTTCTGTTTCTGCTCCATCGGGAAACTTCTCTTCAGGACAGTTATTTGGAAAACAGTGGAAACATGTTCAACAACTTGCTGACACTTTTTGGAAAAGGTGGAAAGGAGAATATTTGCACACTTTACAAAGCTGCCCAAAATGGACTGAAACCAGACCAAATGTTAAAGAAGGAGATGTAGTCCTGCTAAAAGATACTCAGGTCAGCAGGAATGAATGGCCCATGGGACTAATAGTGAAGACATTTGCTGGCAGAGACGAAAGGGTCCGCAAGGTAGAAGTGCGGATTGTACAAGGTGGGACTGTTAAGGTATTCTTAAGACCAGTTTCGGAGATTATTGTTTTGCTTTCAGAGACTGAGTGATTGTCATTGGATGATCAATAGCCAGTGTGTTTAAACATGAAGTGATGTTTGTTGTGATATAATATGATTATATCAAGCGGGGAGTGTGTTGCCCTTTGTTTAATAAGTTCATGTCTTGAGTAAGCTACGTAAAGAGGTAATAAATAAGTCCATAGTTACTAATTAGTTTAAGTAAATTCATGCTGAAACCTGTTTAATGTTTTGGGTTTGGATACCAAGCAGAGTGAGACATCTGTTGTTCATCATATATGGTATGTGCAGCACGTGATGTAGTGAGTACTCTTACCGCAGAAAAATCTTTGACGTATTTTCTTGGTAGAACCCGAGAAAATTCTTCTGATAAAAAAAAAAAGGAGAAACATCTCATATAAATGCTAAATATGCCCTACACGCTTGTGCCTTGGTAAACTTTTGTCTTTGTGAGTATTGTTGTGTTCAGAATGTACTTGAGCATTGTGGAAATTATTTTATTTGAGAAAAATGCAGTGCCAATGTAGAGCACATGTTCAAGCTAAGCTAACTGTTTAAGTGGGTGTGTTTGTGTGACATTGAGATGTGTACTGTTTAGTAATTGTTCTCTTTCTGTATATTTCAGTTACAAAAAATAAAAGTCATAAATGAAAGGTCTTCAAACTCAAGAAAGCAAGCCTTGTCTGAAGATTTTTTTTTACTTTGTTTGCTAGCTGTCAAGCTTCACATAGTCACGTGTTGTGAGGACAGCATAGTAAAAAGACAACTGCTCAGCGGGCTCAAGCATACAGAGCTACATTAAGCAACATGAGTCTTCGCTCAGGGAGAAATTATCTCAGAGACTATGATGCTGAACAGCAAAATGAAGCACCTCTTGAACCACCAGAAGTTACTTCTCAACTGGCCACAATGCAGCTACAGTTACAACCATTCGACACCAGGTCGCAGGTATCCAGAGCACCCACAAGAAGGTCTCAGCGGACATTCTTATCATCAACAGGCTCTTCAGCCACAAGGGCCCATGCCAAAGCTCAAGCAGCACGAGCTCAACTAGTGTACGCTGAAAAAGAAGCCAACATGATGAAACAAAGAGCTGAACTGGACGCACACCTACATGTCCTCCGGTGTCGTAGATTGTAGATGTGTCTTTATGTTTTGGATCATTGTCTTGTTGGAAGATAAAGCTCCGTCCCAGTCTCAGGTCTCTTGCAGACTCAAACAGGTTTTCTTCCAGAATGGTCCTGTATTGGCCCCATCCATCTTCCCATCAATTCTGACCATCTTCCCTGTCCCTGCTGATGAAAAGCAGGCCCAAACCATGATGCTGCCACCACCGTGTTAGACAGTGGGGATGGTGTGTTCAGGGTGATGAGATGTGCTGCTTTTATGCCAAACACAACATTTTGCATTGTGGCCAAACAGTTTGATTTTGGTTTCATGTGACCAGAGCACCTTCTTCCACATGTTTGGTGTGTCTCCCAGGTGCTTGTGTCAAACTTTAAACAACACTTTTTATGGATATCTTTGAGAAATGGCTTTCTTCTTGCCACTCTTCCATAAAGGCCAGATTTGTGCAGTGTACGACTGATTGTTGTCCTATGGACAGACTCTCCCACCTCAGCTGTAGATCTCTGCAGTTCATCCAGAGTGATCATGGGCCTCTTGGCTGCATCTCTCATCAGTCTTCTCCTTGTTCGAGATGAAAGTTTAGAGGGACGGCCGGGTCTTGGTAGATTTGTAGTGGTCTGATACTCCTTCCATTTCAATATGATTGCTTGCACAGTGCTCCTTGGGATGTTTAAAGCTTGGGAAATCTTTTTGTCTCCAAATCCGGCTTTAAACTTCTCCACAACAGTATCTCGGACCTGCCTGGTGTGTTCCTCGGTCTTCATGATGCTCTCTGCACTGTGAACAGAACCCTGAGACTATCACAGAGCAGGTGCATTTATACGGAGACTTGATTACACACAGGTGGATTCTTTTTATCATCATCAGTCATTTGGGACAACATTGGATCATTCATAGATCCTCACTGAACTTCTGGAGTGAGTTTGCTGCACTGAAAGTAAAGGGGCCCAATAATATTGCACGCCCCACTTTTCAGTTTTTTATTTGTTAAAAAAAGTTTGACACATCCAGTAAGTTTCATTCCACTTCACGATTGTGTCCCACTTGTTGTTGATTCTTCATAAAAAAAATTAAAATTGTATATCTTTATGTTTGAAGCCTGAAATGTGGCAAAAGGTTGAAAAGTTCAAGGGGGCCGAATACTTTCACAAGGCACTGTAAATTCAAACTTGTGCATTCATTTTAATTTTTTTATCTTTGAAACTGTTGCCTAATGATTTCATTTGGAAAGCAAGCAGTTACAATTAAATCAGTAAAAAATAAATAAAACAATGTTCAAGTACACGTTTGACTGTAACTAAATATTACTTTCCAAGAATATTTTGAGTAGTTGCAAGAAATTAAGACAGAAAGACCGAGTTGAGTTAACTTTAGGACAAACTAGTCAACAAAACTTTCTTCTTAATTAAGTTGCTCAATCTTATTTTGAACAAACTTGTTTTATCTGGACACTAACTTTAGATGCACATGACTGAAATAATAAACTAAATGTTACTAGATTTTAACTCAGAACTATTTACATGTTTTAAGGGGCAATCTTTGATAAATTCATTAGGAATTATTGTATTCTGACTAGATAATTTAATTTATTTACTGTATTTAATATCTTGATTTATTATTTTAGTTATTTTTCAATTAGGAATACAGTAAGTAAATACATTTCTGTACTTTTTGAGAACAGGTTTACTGCAGGGACACATACTGTGCATTTTAAACATCCTGTTTAGTTGCTATTTTTTTTTTTTTTTTTTTTTTTTTACTATATATTGAGTCAATGTATACTGTAGTTTTCAGGCAGATTAAGAATGCAGGACATCAAAACAGATTTCTGAACATGTTTAATGTCATGACCTAAAATTTCCAAACCACCAAACAAACAAAAGCTGAAATCCATCAACTCAAACACAATAAGTACGGTTTTTATACTAAACTCTCACAATTTTTTTTTATTATTTGAAGCCTCTTAACCCCTTTTCATAAACAAACCAAAAAACGTAACTTGATTTAAAAATAAATCTGTGTTGGTCAGTTACTGGCAATGTAATAAAGTCTTGCATTATGTGCTTTTCTTAACGATCCTATCAGGATGCAGAAGGCACGTGTGCATCATTTAGCTCATAAATCTGTGCTTTGAACTTTGGTAAATTTTTGGAAATAAACATTAAACTGAGTTGCACATAAAACACAAAGGGATTTGTAAAAAAATCTTTAAGGATCTTCAACGTCCCGTTAAAGTGACATGTAAACCAAAGACTCGATTAGGCGCTCTGTGCAACAAAAAGTCAAAACATGTAGTAAACAATATTCATGGCAAGTATTTGGAGTGTAAACATCAGGAATAGTGTGACCCTTTAATAGCAGACGTTTCTTTTTTGTGCTTCCCAAGTATTAACATTACACAATGTTTCTCTTACCATATTTTTCGGACTATAAGGCGCATTAAACGAAACAAAACAGTCAAACTTTATTCAACTCATTCACAATAACCACATAAAATCAGTTCGAGGTCAGTAAGCACAACCAGAATTAATACATAAGGCGCACTGTTGATTTTTGAGAAAATTAAAGGATTTTAAGTGCAACTTATAGTCCGAAAAATATGGTATAAAAAAAAAATCTAACCCTCCTGTAACCGTCTGGACAAATTTGGCAGCAAAGCAGTTGGGAAACAGGTTCAAAATAATAGTAATCTTTTACATCCAGGTGGTTAAAAGTGACGTTTCTGGAATATTTTACCAGACAGGTATTGAGAGCTATAGGCATTTTTTTTCGGGGGGAAACAAAAGTTATTTCTGTGATTTCATTGTAACTTTATTTGAACACATTAGAAGCACAAAATGAAATGTGCTGCCATATAAATGAGTCATGTTCACTTCTTATATATGCATCTACAGCAGTGTGTAAAATGAATTGGGCTCATTTGGAGGCACCGAGGTCAAAAACACTGTTCCCACGGATACAACACCGCCTTGTTCAGGGCAACAACAAGCCGTCCAGTTGTTCTCTGCCAACTGACAGTCACAGAGTGTTGGGGAGGTAAAGCGAACAGAGCAGCATGTTCTGTCCCAGAGCCGGGAAACGCCTGAACGCCTCCCAGCCGCCAGAAAATATGTAGTACTTGAGAAAGACGCGGTGCTCCAGGGTGGTGGGCAGACTCACGTCTCGGCTCATGATGTAGATGCCGTCGTTGTGCAGCGTGCACGTCAGGTTCAGGCCTGACTTGGACGTGTTCTCCTTCAGCCGGACCCACTCCCCCGTGGTAACGTTGTAGGACTGCACCGTCAGAGTGTCCTCCGTGTGGCTGGGACGCCAATGCCGCCTGCCTACCTGCAGCTTGTGGGTGTAGCCACCCACCAAGTAGATGGTGTCCTCCACTGAGAGCATCTGCTGCTTACGAATGTGAGCCGAGCAGGCGCGAAACACCGTCCAGGTGTCAGAGGTGGGGCAGTATCGCAGGACATTGGTGTTCCTGTCTGCAAGACACAAAACATCTTTTTCATTCATTACTTTGACTTCATACAAGCCTGAGGGCGACGTGAACTTCTTAAAGGCTGCGGTTCTCAAAATTGAGGTTCAAACTCCGCTATAAATTGCAATTGTCGCAATTTTTTTTTCTACTTATTATTACAATCTTTAACACACGAGCAGAACTGAACCCACCTCACTGAATCAAACTGAGCACGTTTCAACTGAGAACTAAACATTTCTTCACCTTCTCCCACACAAAAAAAACACACAGTAAACTGGTCCGAGTGGAGCTGACAGCCCGTTTGTGGTTTTGTAACGCAACGTCAGATCTGTTTCTGTAATATGTGACAATATTTCCCAGTGGTTTTTGAAGCAACGGGACACAAATTCCCAGAATCTTTAGATCAAGGTCTGTATACAAACCTCTGGCAGTGTATCCACCCATGACGTAGATCATACCCTGGCACTCGCAAGCTGAGAACTCAGCCAGCGGGTCAGGCATTGAAGACACGCAGGTCCACCAGTCATATTCTGGACTGTAACACTCCACGGTGCCCAGACACTGGCCTCCAACAGCATATAGCTTCCCTTGAACTGCCAGCAGCTTGAAGTTGGACCTGGAGAGGACACAAAGGGTGAAACATGAAAGAAACTACAATCAGTGGGGTGGTGAGAGGCAAATGTACCTCTTCTGGTTGAGGGGTGCCACCTGGTTCCACTCGTTTCTGCAGGGGTTGTAGCAGTGCACAGCAGAGATCTCCTGATTTGACACCCTGTATCCGCCCACTATGAACAGGTAGTTATCCAGAACAGCAGATCCATATCCCCTGACGTTGATCATGTCTGTTGGCAAGTTGTTTGCCAGTGGCTTCCAGCACTGCTCCACCTCTCCATACCTAAGCATGGACCAGGGTTCATCCTGATCGGGCACATTCAGAGACAGACAGGTGAAATCTCCGATGGCCACGAGGGTGGCGGTGCCTTTCATACGCATCTCCCTGACTTGGTCCCCGACACCTGAGGGCAAACTGCTGAACTCGGGACGCCTCAGCATGGGATGGTAATAGCAGCTCATGTATTTGAGGCAGGCGTTTCGCAAATCGTGAGTCCCGTAGATCTCAGAGAGGCTGTAGAGCTCCACACAGTTGTCCAGCCGGATCTCTGAGGTCAGCAGCTTCAGGATGGAGGTGACCTGCAAGAAGGAGGCAGTCTCAATCAGATCCTCCAGAGTTTCGTTGACTACCTGGACTTTGGAGGTGTTGATGAACTCCAGGACCAGCTCCAGGCCCGGGACGCTGAGACCCTGCAGCTGCACCGAGTCCTCCGAGGATTCCCTCATCCCGGAGCTGTAAAGAGCTCGGAAATAATCGCTTTTCTCTATCAGCTTCTTTTTATTCACCTCGTAGGTCCTGTCGTCCACCACAATGACAATAATCTGGTCGGATGACATGTTGGACTCAACTTCTGTTTTATTATTTTGTTGCGCTTTCGACGAGTTTACCGTTTACCGGCGGAGGAGCTCCGTGGCCGCTCCATATATGGTCATGTTCATCCCATAGATCCCTGAGGAGCTGCTCGCCTCAGGACGGCTAACAGCTAGCGGAGAAGAGCTGGTAAACCTGACAAAACAGCCCTTTTATCGGAGTAACATCCCTAAACAGCTCGGTAGAAAACCAACGCTTGTTAAAATATGTCACTTACATATTACAGTTTATTTCTGGCTTTGGAAGCAACACTTTAAATGAGTTTTGTAAGCCATTCGTGGGACGAGCTGCTAATGTTTTGATGCGGAGCTTCTTCTTCGTGAGTTTTTTTGTTGTTGAGTCGAGCTGCTGCTGCCCCCTGCCGGTCAGGCCAAACAGCGCCACCACCGGGTTCATTCACATTAAAAACAATACTTACTGTTTTTACTCCAGTAACAGATGCAGCAGTGAAAACACACCCAATCACGGGTACAAAACTCCGATTTAAAATACTGTTTAGCTATTCACAATATTTTAAACTTTATATACAGAAAATAAAGCACCAAGTTACTCAAACTTAAATACAATATTTAATCAAAAACACTCAAAAGTACTTTTTGAACATTGATTAACAACTTATTCGATCATTTCTGCACATTGTTTTCATTTTGATGTTGTTTTTGGATTTGTATCGCTGCATGATATATAGATACTAAATATACTATAAAGTTATGTTGACAATAACAAAGATATTTAAATTAATAAACAGACACAACTCCGAGATAGAAGTATCCTTGCACAACCGACCAGTACGTGTGTAAGTGTCACCACAATGATTGATTTATGTTTTAAACGGGTTCATATTTGTTTTCAGTAGTTAGAATATTTTGTTTTTAGTTTGTTTAGTTCACACTGTGAAATATGTTTTATTTTGTATAAGATGCATTTATTCTGTCATGAAGGACTATTTTGGTTGTACTGTTATCGCGAGATTTATGTGAACGGAAGAGAGTGGCGAGATCTTTTGTGCTCGACACACACACATTTACCTGAAGCCACATGCAGTTACCTGAGGACACGAGAGGCGTGCAGCAGCCTCGATAGTTCGCTAACTGTAAAGGTATTTATAACTGTTGTGATACATTGTACATCGGTCAGTTATGGTGTTCTGATGTTTTATATGCTTATTTAGAATGTACAAGATGAGAAACATTCGCTTAGGACTTCTTTCATGACGAGCGGCCATGAGGTATTTCTTTGTTAAAGCATGTTTTACTTGTCGCTCAGTACTGTACCTGAAACCTTTTGTTTTACTTCTGTACTTTCTGTCTTGTTTCTGTAGTTTTCACGGCATTCATTAAAGCGCCCGTTTCAAATAAAGAAGCCGTGCCCGCGTGTCGTCATTGAGAAGTTACAACGTGTTTGCAAATGAAACTGCACAAATGACTGTGCACAACTGGTTTTATAAATTGAATAGTTTGATTTCTTGTGTCTTTTGTTTTTACTTTGCTGTGTGAATCTGTGCCTTTCATCAGACTACTTTTTACCCTGCCGTTTGCATTTTTTAGTATCTTTTATTGAACTATTGTCTTTGTTTTTTTGTTTACATTATAGCCATATGTACTTGTCTACATTTCCTTCTACATTTTCTGCTGATATGTATTAGTCTAGTATATTTTTTTTACAGTTTTTATTGCATTTTGATGTTGTCTTGTGTTAGTCAACTGTTTTTTTTTTTCTTTACCTGTTTATCCTTTTCTTTATTTCATGACACATGTTGCAGGGATATATACTGAATCAATCATTTTCTCTTGTGGATCTGACAATACATAAGAATTTGAAACTTAACTACAGTTTGTAACTGATGGCAGGATCTAAGAAATGTCTTTTAATCTAGGTTAATCTTTAATTACCGTAATCATTAATATTTAATCTATGCTATTTTGGGTTGTAACTGGGACCTTGCATATACAATTTCGTTCCACCTCATGTACAAAGTACCACATGTGATGCGAATGACAATAAAGAACACTGAACCTTGATTAATTGTTTCTGCTTTTCAGATCTGTTTGAAAATATGATTGGTAAGATTATATAATGATGTAATTTAAAAAGGATTAGTCTGAAGATTTTTAAATTACATCATGTTTGAACTTCAGACACAACAATACATATAATTAACTTGGCCTGAAATCCATCCATCCCATCTTTACCTGCTTCTTCCTTTTTGGGGTACGCCCTGGACACCTAGGGACAATTTAAAGTAACCAAACATGCATGTTTTTGGTCTGTGGGAGGAGAGTCCTGGAGAAAACCCATGCACTATTTGCCTGAAATATTAGCTTAAATAGTGGAAAAATAGAAAATGTTATCCCCAAATTTATTGTCGGCTAAGATTTGTTCCATTTTTTTGTATAAAGAAATATATTTGTTTTGTTTCCTTTAATTACGCTTTAAAAAAAATTAACCCAGAGCCCTGATTTTGTTCTTATTTGGTCAAATTATATCAAGATTTTCAAGTTGAAATGTTTGAAGTCGCTTTGACAAACTATTTAATAATAATAATAATAATAATAATAATAATAATAATAATAATCGATATGATGATTCAGAACTTTGTTGTGACCACAGAATGCGGATGTGCTTTAACTGTCTAGTTTTATTTTGAAAGTCAGACCGGAAGTGTAAATGTTAGCGCGCTGTGATTCGGGCAGAAGAAGAAGAAGAAGAAACAAGACACGGCTCATCAATGACAGCGACAGCCGTCCAACCGTCACCGCTCGGCCTGTTTCATGTTCGTGGCTCCTGGCAGCGGACAGCCTGCTGGTTGTAATCCGAGCTGAGGATGTGGGAGCCGGCGTGCACCTCCTGGTCCTCCCGCTGCTTTCTCCTCATCTTCATCACCGCTCACTCATCATCGGGGTCCACCGACCGAGACCTGCAGCCGTGTGACGAAGTGAGTGAATTTACTGCTTTAATTCATGGCATGTGAAGAAGATGCTGCTTTATTTACTTTTAGGTCTTATTTGTTTACATCATTTCTTATTGTGGCAACAAGTGTTTACCATTGGGATTTAATCTAAGATGAAATATCCGGACTAGCTTAATTTAAGCTAATAAATTGACGCAAAAAAAACGCTCAGTTTTCCATCGTCACAGCAGCTCAGCAGGGTCTGAGTCAGCTGCTGATCGGATTAAAACGCACCTCATGTTGGAGAGGAGGACGCCGTCTGCTGGCCTCCATCCTCCTGTGAGCCCAAACAAGAACATTATGACCGAACCGGGTCTGCTCTGCGGATTTTTTTCCGAACCAAACAAATCGATCGGGAAAATCAGAGGCGTTTTTACAATCCTTAAACACAGGGGGCCGAGCCCAACCCCCAAATATTTAGAAATTACTGTTGCATTGTTTTCACAGTTTCAAAAGTAAAAATATTTATTTAGGATGTGTTGTACCACCTTTTTGCTTATATATATATATATATATATATATATATATATATATATATATA